TAACTTCACTTACAGTAAATGGTCAAGCTGCACTTTTATATTAATGTGTTTTCTATTCTGATAAATAAGAAAATATGTAAACATTTCTTCTATATTTTCAGGCATCCTTCATTCAATAAGGCAAAACCCAAGTATAGATATGTTATGTTTATCCCGTTGGAACCTCAGAAAAGGAAGCGCTGGTTTCCCCTTTCAAAACCCTTTTTTAACCTTTGACAAGAGCTAGCAATGTTTTTATATAGGCATTCCCTAATGCTCACAATGTAATGCCCTATTTGAATATACAGTATACTATAAATCCAAAAAGTCATGCATTGTGCACCCACATACTGTATGTGCGTTCATGCATTTGGCTGTACGAAGTGTGGAAAGACTCACCAAAAAAAAAAAAAAAAAACTAATTAGGTCCATCCACGAGAGATAAGTCAAGTCCTGTAAAGACAGTGACTATGGTAAATGTGAACCTAATTTGTAAAATCACAACACTGCAATAGCATTTACTGTATGTAAGTCACAAATAAAGGTTGTGTTTCCAGTGTGACACATTTACATATTAAGACATAGCAATTATTTCCCATTTTCTATCCCTCTTTATGTTAACTAATACTGCATGTATTTATGTACAGTACTTGTAACTATGACACTTCACAGATACCAAAGGTATCTGAAGGTCAAGAATTTCACCATACACCTTCAGCCACTTGTACTTCCCAAAAGCCTGCTCCACCTCAGTCCCCTCATCTTCATCAGTCCTCCTCATTCTTCCTTGTTCCACCACCCACACCAGTCAAAAGGGCAGATACGTAAACCTCCACCTGTGCCGTCTGGCCATCCTCAAGCCCCGCCTGTTGCACCTTCACCAGTTCAATCTTTCCAGACAGTAAGTACAACTTTACTTCTTTCTTCCTGTAAAAATCACTAGTCTGTCAAATAGTGCACATTCACTACACTCACAAATAAACCAGGCTGTATGAAATTTCAATAAAACACTATAGTTAATTATTAAATTAATGCATAAATTAATAATTACACAAATAATTAATGTGGCCAATCTAATTATCACTTTTACAATTTCCAGGCTGTGGATGAGCAAAATATACCTGGAATGGACCATGTAGACAGTTTGGCAGAGTACCCGGTTGGACTACGCTCAGTGACCAGCCTGACACTGACCAACCAGCAGGCAAGCACTATTGTTGGTCTGTGGCAAAATATGAGCCAATTTGACAAGGACCGGGTGGTTTATGCTGCCAGACATCAAAACAGGCTGTTGACAGGTCGCTTCAGGTCCCCCAAAAAGAAAACAGTTTTCACTCCAGGTGTAGACAGCACAAACAGATGTGTCCTGGGTTTGAGTGGCTCCCCAGCTCAATGGCCAA